TATCCAAGGTTTACTTGGGAGATGCCACAGGCCACTCGGAAGTCATTACTTGCACTTGCCCCATAGTATCTAATTTTGGGGTTTTTTGACCCTATAACACTGTTTAAGGCCTCGTTTCTCTGCGAATTTGCCCCAGGTGATAACTTTGCAACTACTACATCAGTACAATATTCATCAAAAATTCTCTCCAAAGCTTTCCTCAAGTCATCACCATAGAGATCTTTGCCATAGGGTAAGTCAGAGTGTTTATAGTTAATAGGGTCTTTCTTGGCACCACACCAGGATTCATTGCAATTTGTGTGGTTTCCAAAGGAGTGTGGTAGAATGCCTTTTAAGGATTTTTGAAGGGCTGATGGATTCCCCCTATTTTGAGACACGCCATAAGTAAAACATTTGACCAAGTAGTTGACAACTTTCTGTGAGAGAGCTGATGAATTTACAAATTTCCCACGTTGGCTTAGGTTATAAAACCTTGTAGTTATTGATCTTTTGGCATGCACAATGTCTGTCCACTTTTCTACTGGAGAAGGGACATTCTCTTTTATATGTGCGGCAGTTGTGGAGTCTTCATCTCCAACAAAAACAGATAGTTTGACTCTAGAATTTAGGCTTTCAGTAAACAAATGGACAGCTGCCATAGGCTCCATTGCCTTTGATGATGCTGTATGATTGAGTCGACAGTTGTGTTGCTTAGCTTCTTTTCCGGTTTTTCTAGCATTTGCGCAAACCCTGCAGGATTTTTTTCTTGTAGTATAATCCGTAACCTTCCCATAAGTTAAACCCATCACTGCAGCTTGACCAGTTGATGAGTTATGCCCCTTTCCTGGTTTTTGCCAACCCATGTCATATGAGCAGGGGATATTGATGCAGCCTTGGTCATCTGTTTTTACATCTTTTTTGATGGCAGCATTTCTTTCTTCTGGCATTGCAGTTTTGCAACTTTTATTTGTTACTTGCTCTACTGCATACCCAATTTCATTTTCTCTACCCTTGAAAGTTACTGGGTTCATAGGGGGAATATTTAATGTACATAGTAAATTATTTTAGGTGGGTTTCACCGATTCCTGTGTGTAGACACCCAAGAACAGCTCTTGAATTAACATCATGACTGAGAGGACCTCTTTGACCACTCCTGTGTTCACTGGAGGTCTTGACAACATTCTTTCTACCACACGCTGCACAGGTAACTGAGAACACTGAGGCTAACCCATATTTTTTTTCTTCTGTTATGTTCCACAGTGACAAATTGGCTGAAAGTGACAATATTGATACTCAAGAAAATTTGACACTTAGTTCTGGCAGTTTGTCTTCTCCATTGAAATAAATGAGCAAAGGTAAATTTTTTGCAAAATTAACAAAATTTTATAAAAGCTGTAAATGCTACTTGTGGTTCGTGGAAAATTTACAACTGCTTGTTTGTTCCAAATTTGCCAAAAAACATTTTTTGTTACCATCAATAGAAATACAATAGTGTGACACTTGGTATAGGGTAAGAACTTGCCAAAAAAATTATTTCTTATGAAAAGTTTTGTAATGTTTTGAAGATGTACATGTTTAATCAACCACATAACTGTTGCTTGGAAACCTGTTCATTTTATAGCCTCAAAGTTATGTGTACATGTACTTGCCATAAAACTGAGAATTCATTTTGATTTTTCTTTAGTTTTGATTTTCTTTGAGCAGATAAAAATTGTTTCTTCTTACCTGCTTTACAGTGCTGACAACATTTCAATGAACTCAAAACATGCAAGTCCATAATTCTACTTCCATGTGGAGTGCAATTTTCCTTCTTTGTTTCTTTCAGATTAAAATCAATATATGTACATGATAATGGTAATTTTATTATTAGGTTGTAACTGTAACCAAACATTTGTTGGAATTTTAAAATGAAATGTCAACATGTTTTGGTGTAATCATATTGACGAAACAACTTGCTATGAACTATTTGTGGTATAATACAAAAATTCTATTGGAAAATTCATTACTTGATGAGGGAATTCCGCATTAAATTGCATGCAAAAACCGATATCAAGTACAATTTAAGGCGGAATTCACGAGTGAAGTAATGGATTTTTGCAATTCTGTGCTAAATACCTCGCTTCGTTAACCAATCAGAATGCAATGTCAATCAGAAAGTCAATGATGCGATTCAAATTGAGAACAATTTTTAGAGCAAAGAAAGACTTAAGGAAGCACTTTTCTTAAAACTTTTAGGTGAATTGCTATTAAAGTGCTACTGCGACGAAATTTTTGCATTTTATTTTCCCAATTTTCTGGTGTTAACTTCACATTTAGACCCTAAACTATAAGAATAAGCGTAAGTTTCTCAAATTTGACAACGTTATTCCTTAAAAACAGCGCCGCGAAGACATTAAAAATTCTTCCGCCATTGCTCGAATAACACACTGGAGAGCCCGCGAAAATAACTACAGCGGTTTTAGTTGCGACGTCATCGACTCACTTCGACAACGTCGCGAAGGCATGCCTTTACAAGAAATACGCAAAAGAAAGCTGGGGAACAATTCTTTCGAATTTTATTCCTTTTTTCCTGCGGAACCAGAAAAACAACTCTCCTTCGGCATACCAAATTAGCCACGTTTGTTGAGTCGTTGACGTCACTTCCATTCTCGACCCAGTTTCTTCTTCTTCACGCGGAGTTCTGTAGTTCGAAGAATGGCGGCCGTTTAGATCGCGAATCTACAGGGAAAATAATATTACTTCTTGATGGAGTTTTGCCTTACCATTTGGCAAATTTGTTACTTAGGGTAAGTACTTTCAACCTCTTAGGAGAAAAGAAAAGGTGCATTTTTGGTCGCAGTAGCACTTTAAAGCAGAACAACTCACACAAAACTAATCCATGTTTATCTCCCATAATCCGTTGGTGTCCGCTTAATACAGATTGACTACATTGACGGAACGCCCTGTGAAAGAAAGACCAGAATTGCGAAATTTTTGAAAACTTGAAAGGCAGCACGGTTTTCTCTTTAGGTTAAGCTAAAAACTTTCGGAACGGACTGCCCTTCAACAGGAGCGCGAAATATCCTCACCACACCATCGTTTTATCCTTAGACACTTGCTGAAAGTTAGCCGCCTTGAACTGTAGATAAGTATGTTGGACAATCCTCAATAACAGTCTATGCAAGATTTCTAAAGAGCGGTTCATGGATGGATAATGGATGTCGAGGCTTTCGATGGCTTTGAAACGAACGCCGTTTTAATTAATATATGCTGTTGCTGTTGACATGTCCGAACGTTTTTAAATTTTCTGGATAACTCCATATAAATTCTATACCTCTCTTCTTATTTAACTGGCAATATTGATATAAAGCTGCAAGCGGCGGATACTTGGTTGCAATTCTCTATACTCCTGTATTGAAGTCGTCACTTCCACCATTCCCTCAGCTTCATTGGAAAGGAATGCATTCTCTACGAGGTTATCCACAGCCTGTGAAATTCTTTGACTGATCAATTCTGTTTCTCCATCGATTCCACCTTCTCCTTCACCCGTGTACGCGCTACGTAAATTTGTCGGCAGCTGGGAAATTAGCGGCAGGTCCCCTCTGATGCTTATGCCAAGTATGTTGAGGCCTGCCTCTATGACTCCCATGATTTAATCAAATAGGGTTTCGTCCGCCATTACCTGCGTCCTGCAACATATTTTAAAGAAACTTCTAATCAAGGCCATTCTGTTCGAGTGACGCATATATCATTTGACCCAAAGATTAAATGTAGGCTCCTCAAGACCCTCAGGGGCGTACTCGCATTAAGCCTAGAGTACATTGTCATCAAGGGCGTAACCAGGATGTTTCAAAGGGGAGTCACACCGTGTCAAACAGGGGTTACTCACCAGAATATATTTAAACACAATTGAATATCACGGCCGCAGAAACCGAATAAAGGCGATTACTCCTTGTCTACTATACCCTACACCTTAGGGTGGCTAGAATACCCATATTGTTATTGATATGGTGTTCTAACCTGCTTATCGCTTATTTGGATTTTTTTTTTGACGAATAAAAGATCTTTTTTTCTGTTTCAGTCAATGAGTTGCCAGTCCCTGTCACCCAAGTTGCGAAAAGATTTCTAGGATAGCCATAGAGAGAAGATTTACACAACAAATCATGACAACTGAGAAGACTTAACAGATTTTTTAACTAAAACAAACAGGATCGACCCTCACTGAAATGTAGTCTTATCCATATTGTCAACTGAAAGCATAAATCGCACTAAGATGTATATGAATTATATCGGTTTATGACGTAATTCGAAAATGTTCTCGCCTTACAAGTTGTAATTCTATAATTTATTATGGGAGGTTCGTTCATTCGGTAGATGCTTTCTTGGTAGGGAGATCAAGCAGTCACGATAGAAAAGCATAGAAAAACGTCTCATAAAGTACGAACCTACGAGGTTCGTCTAAATTGCGCTAAAAGTTCGACTTTGTCAATACCACGAGCTGTCCCAGATCTTCTCTTTCGCACAGCATGTCAACGAAGCTCCTGTAGAATTAATAGAAAACTCCAAACTAAGGTCTCCGAAATCATCACATGTGAAGACACTCATAATACTCAGGTACAAATTCCTCATTATCCAGACATATTAAAACTAGTCTCATTGATTACACAACACGAATTATTTCATTCATGCATTGTTCGCTGTTTGTTGGTACAAAAAATTTCGAAATATATCATTAATACACGGAAACGTTTGCAACTTTTGTGCCATTTAGAACAGCGAATTACCTCAGTTCAGTCATCCCAGTGACATATTCCTTGAAATTCGAAGTCATGCCAAATCACTGCGAGACGACACATGGCAGAATCCATTTCACGCATAGGATTTACAAGATCATAAAATAATTGCAACTGTTCATGGCACACTAACAATCATTGATTGTGAGTTTCAAGCGAGCGCAACATAGGTGAATCCATCTTGTTTCTTTTTTGCCAAGAATAAAGCTCACGATACCAGTGGATATGAATTGGGTTGTAAACGAGCTATGCGTACATGATGTTCTTCATACAAGCGTTCGTTTACATCACCAGAAATCGGGGACATTTCGATCCCGTTACGGTATATCGTATTACAGATAATTCAATACGGTGGAACTGAAGTGAACACGTAACTTTGTATTATCGTAAAACCCCACGAGAGAAAGGCCTGGTACCTTTCTATCCCAGAAAGCCACAGGAGACGTCAAAACAAGAAAAATGGCGGTCAAATTGTGCAGTTACTGGGACTTGTATCTTTCGTGTTCTTCCTTCCTAAAATTGGGGTATTTAAAAATGGCGTATTTGGCTTTTGAGCTCTGAGAAAATACGAAGAGTTTCCCGGCTCGAGCAAAATTTGTGGGCCAACCTATTCGACCGTTTAAGAGCGGTTTACTCGAGCAAACCTCTGCAGAATGCATATCGAACTACGCAGTTGCGAATCTTCTCAAGGTTGTTCCCACGACGAAAGAACTGTAACAACTAGTTGAGGCAGATTTTAATAGTTTGTATGGGAAAATGGAGTCAGAATTATGAGTTTACTCGTATACCTTGGGAAAAGGTAGGGTTGAATTTGAGTATTTCTTTTTCGTAGCGATGGACGCTTTAACCAATGCAGGCTGCATTTCCAAGTACGCAGCGAAAGAATATCCCATTCTTAGATAGCTATTTTGAAAATAAAATCTTTTCCCATACATTTTCTTATACTGTTTCGGCGCTATTTTGCTTGTAACACGAGAACCGCCTCCGCCATATTACAATATACCAATAAGAATGAAAATTACAAATGTACTTTTATTTACTCACTTTGCAGAGTTCAGTTTAAGCGAAATTTGTCCCTAAGCCATGACTCGAAGTAACAAAGACGAGCACAGGGGAGATACAGCGATTCGCAGATCGAGACCAAAGCCGTCTTCAGTAAAGGCGAGTTTATCACAGACGTTCGAGGTCTAACGAGAAACGAGTTGTAAACCGAATTGTAAACTAACAGCGCCATAGTTGTTTAGATGTCGGTTGTGAATAGTGAATAATAATTCCTCCTGCAATCCACAGTCTTTATACCAGGCGACCGATATGATCTTTTGATCTTATGTGAGTTTCAAGAAAACAGTAACCTTTCCGCAAACCAAGGAAATTCTCACGATTAACTTTTGTTCATTACGGCGAATCGAGAGTCTAGTTACAAGAAAAAGGTTGAAAAATACACTAGGATAGAAAAGCACTTGGAAGTCATTTTAGTGTTACGTCAAATGAACCAAATCCACCTCGCAGCTTCACGGCCGTTCCATGGAATCTCCTTCCAAATGGAAGGAGATTCCATTTGGACCTCAGTGCAATCAAGAATAGACACCAGGTTTATGTTTTAAATACTGGAGGCATGTAATAGAAGAGCTGCTCTTTTGAAGGCCATTGTATACATCTTGGTAGGAGTTCTTTTCTTAAGAATTTTTCCCAGGTTCTACAAATATTCGATACTGTAGCTATGGAAATTCTGAATCGTTCAGCTAAATCTCTCTCCAGTAAACCCAGCCTTTGTCTAAGTAAAACCATTGTAAACTCTTGCCATGAGTTCAGCTTTCTCTTGCTGCCCGATTTATTATAGCCGTCTGGGAATTATAATTCCTCTACACCATTATAACATAGGTTAAAAGCTTTTTTTTCAACCATACCAAAGCATAGTTCCAGTGATTCATAGTTTTCAAATCCAGTATAAAACGTTATGTCGTCATATATTTCCTTATGATCTTCGATGGCGAATTTTGCTTTGGTCTTCAGCTGGTGAATTTCTTTCTCTAAAGCTTGTATTTTAGCTTCCAGAAAGGCGATTTCATCTTTCAAATCATATTGTTCGTCTTCAGTTTGGGTAGCTACATCTTTTAACGGCGAATCGAGGCTTGTATCATTACTATCTAAGGATGTATCCATATCTGTAGTTGTACTCTCCATCATGGATAAACATGGTTCAGGAACGTCGTTGTTGTGTTCTATATCAACAGCTTGTTTTACTTTTGCTTGTAGATCGTACTTTGCGATATTTCTTCTTTCTTTTGGGGTAGATGACAATGGAAACATCGAAGGCAATTGTGTCCTCGACATTCTTTCTCCACCGGGAAAATGTGCTCCACAAATCCTTGTGTTAGCGTTCAGCTGAAGCGTTTTGTTTGTTATCGGATTTTGGTACATGTTATTAACTATTTGATCACTTGGAAATGCGTGGAACTTCTTTGTAGGTGAATTCCTTCAATTATTTGTGCATCCAGGCACACAGCAGTTTGTTTTGACCATTTTTTATGAAATCGCGGGGTACTTAATCTGAACAATATGGCGGACGCGTCCGCTAAACCAGTCCCAGAAAGCTTCTGCCACCTCTGACTCCGCTGCTCTCCTATTTGCAGCTTCAGCCCCTCGCTTTTTTCTCTGCATCCTGATCTCGGGCCTGCTGATCAGTGATACCTGACTTTTCCTCCTCTTCACCGCCTTCGAACTCGGGCATCTTGGTTCGGATTTTCCT